GAGTTTCGTCAAGTCAACGAGATCTCACTGTCCAAAGCAGCATTAAACTCGGCCTATTTATACACAACGCGAGCAGTATAGTCAATCGGATGATTGATCAGCGCCGACGTTTAACTCGGTGTCTCAAGGGTTTATTCAACGAAGAGAGAATTAGTTACAAACGTTCGTTCTATGACTGACAGCCGTTCTAGCGTTTTGAAGTAGAAGGCCGCGTCATTGAAATGAAAATAATATTTGCGTTGTATATAAACTATATTTATGTTGTTTTTGTACGGCCACCAACACACGAACGAAATATTTAATCTTGAGACCATGATATCTAAGTAATTTCACAACTGTTCTCATAATGGATCGCCTATACTGTATCTACGTTGTAGTTATAAAAAACTGCGTAATCTCAAAGTGTATGGAAGTGATATAAAAATTGTTAAACTGGTCCAACTGATAGGGAATCATGTTTAATCTTGACAAGCGTGTAAAGGGCGCTTTGATCCCTTTAAGCACACGAAGACACAACTTTAGACAATAAGCCAATCTAATACAGACGCCGGTCACCCAGATTTAAACGTAAAATACTTTGCTGTGATAGCAAATGATAGGTTTACAAGATCTTATCACATAATCACATCATTGACAATGTGAGAAACGTCAAATTCTACCTTCGCCACTGGTCTTTGTTTGGAGCCGCTTTTGGTTCACTCGTGAGATTTGCAGAATGCTGTAACTTTTTTCCTCTTCTCTAGCCGATTACGGATCCTTAAACGACGGGATTTTACGCTACTGCAGGATGTATTGCAATATATATAAAGAAGCATATTCCTACAAGGTATTAATAAATACAGAAAACTAATATGAACTAAAGAACTCCTTATATAAATGATTAACGGAACTTTCTTGGTTCTTTTAACCGTGTGACATTCAGCTAAAGTAGTAAATAAATGATAATAAACAAACGTAAATTTCTTTCCTCTACTCGTGAGTACAATCATGAAACTTGAAGAAGTTCATGAACACCCGCAACTGCCGCATTTAAAAAAGATATCTGTAGTTTACCGAATGATTAAGCATTTTTCAGGACGAAAGCTTGTTCTTTAAATCAAGGTTATTTTTGATTGGAGATCGATCACAAAAGACGTTGGAAACGACTTTGAAGAATGACGTGCAAGCAGACAAACTTGTTGTGATGCAGGATCAGACAATAAAGGAGAAACTGAGTGACACTAATCGCATTACAGTCCATGCTTCCTCGATGAGCAGAAACGAGCCTCATTTGTGGACTGCTTTTGATTGAAGCATTTTGTTGATTAGCGGAAGGCTGCATGACGAATTGAATCTAGGTCTGACGCTTTGTTCGAAACCGAACTGTTGGTTTTTCGATCTACGTTTACCAGAATACCTTTTTGTAGATTTATAATTTACCTAGGCCTTTTTGCATCATGAAGTCATCAGTTGAGGACGAGGTTCTGACGCCTATGGAGGAAGAGTGGCTGAGTCTGCGGTGCTGTGCTGATTCACCTTTCGATGCCATCTTCCAGAAACGTCATGTTTAAAAAAACAGTATTTCGATTTGAGTCTGTAGCCTCCTGCTTTTCGTCTGATGAGTTTTGATACTTGGATACTTGTTAATCTGCTTCGAATGAGGAAATATAAACAATCACCCCAGGAGTCGAACCAGCTGTCTTAAATTTATCAGTTCAACGCTTAATTGAGTAAGTGCCTCAGTGGTAACGAGACCTTATCTTACCTCAGCAGACATTTTCTTCATCCGGAAAAGTGTTGCCATTACCTTTATAACGTCAAGATATTTTCATATGCCGAGTATGTCAAATGGTGCATCACTTCACCAGGCTTAGATTTAGCGGCATATTTGATCGCCCTTTGCTTCTAGACTGCGAGTGGAGAACTGATGGCG